CGTAGAAAAGGCGTATGATACTACGTGGCAATATGGGATAATGGAAAACCTCCATAAAGCAGGCCTCAGAGGACGCTTACCCAAATTCATACAAGGATTCATCTCAAATCGTAATATCCAGGTAAGAGACAACGATGTGTTATCCAAAGTAAACCATCTAGAGATGGGTATACCACAGGGAAGTATTCTATCACCAACTCTATTCTGCCTGAACATCAACACAGTTACTGCGATCATCCCAGAGAACGCGCTAACATGTCTATATAAGAACGATTTGACCATAAACATATTCAAAACATTGGAAAAGAGATAAACACGATTTTAAAAGACATAGATAAGTGGTCGAAAGAAAATGGAATACATTTTTCAAAAACTAAAACGACCAGTATGCTTCATACCAGAAAAAAGAAAAAAAATATATCCAAGAATTATTTTCCAGGATACATATATAAACTGCAAACCAGAAATCAAGTTTCTAGGTATAATTTTTGATGAAAGATTAAACTTTATTCCTCACATTGCCTATATAAAAAGTAAATGCATAAAAGCATTAAATTTGATTAAAACCATATCCCATTACAAATGGGGAGGAAATCAAAACACACTCTTAACAATATATAGAACCACAGTAAGAGCTATATTGGATTATGGTTGTCAGGTTTATGGAGCCACAAGGTACTCATATATCAAGACAATAGACCCAATAATCAACGAAGCTCTAAGAAGATGCCTGGGTGTATATCACACATCACCATCAAAAAACTTTCATGTTCTTGCATTAGAAATTCCAAGACATCTGAGACATAAAAAGTTGACATTAAATTTATATATGAAAATGCAATCATAAAAGAATAATCAAGCTCACAAAAACCCATCCAAAATTTCAAGAGTAAACAAAAAAAAATCAAAGGTCATACCTATCCTTGCAGAAAGAGTAGAGGAACATATAAAAAAACTAAATAACATAAAAATGATGCAGGAAACATCTTTGGTAAACTTCGCTTGGAATAAAAAACCCCAAAAATAGACATGTCAATTAGGAAATATAGAAAAAGCTCAAGCCTAAGTGAAATTGCCTTTTACGAAATAATAGAAAAACATACAGAATATATCACAATATATACAGATGGGTCAAGGAAAGAAGGTTCAACATCAGCAGCAGCAGTTATTCCTAGTCTCAAACAAACCATACTCCAGCATCTTCCACCATACTCATCAATATTCAC